GTTTTTGAAGTAATTTGGGGTGCTCATTACGAATATAGCACTTATTTCTAATTCCCAGATGGCGGACACAATTTTTCAAAAAATGCAATATAGGTAATTTTTTCGCGGTATTTGGGGATGCTCTATACGAATATGGCACTCATTTTTAAATCCAAGACGACGGGCACGATTTTTCGAATAATGGCAAGTTGGGTAGCGTTTTCGAGGTATTTGGGGGTGCTCATTACTAATATAGCACTTATTTGTAAATCCAAGATGACAGTTACGATTTTTAAAAAAAAATGCAATATGGGTAACCTTCTCGAGGTATTATTATATACTATTAACAAATATAGAAAAATATTTGTAAATAGTTTTCGCCTTGTTTACGGGTTTTTATGGGATTTTTACGTTTGTTTAACACTATTCTTCACACTTATATTCAGAACCAAAAGGTATATAGCTACGGGAGTCAGAGTTCTTGGGACACACACTTCACGTATAGATATTAAAAATTACTCACAACCTGCTATGTTTTTCATTTGTAGTTTTAGTTTCAAAATTGTCAATAAATTTTAGACATAAATTTTCCCATGCCTATTTCTCGAGTTTGTTTGAGTTTCGAGAGAGGGAACGCGCCCTAATAGTGGTCAACTGCCTGTAATAAAAAAATTCAAAATGGCGAACTCAAAATGGCGGCCAAAGAAAAACTTGCTTCGATGCGGCTGAAAATTGGCATGCGGAGGTCTTTAGGAGTCCTTAATCATAATTTTTTTATATTTAGAGAGGTATCATATACTATAGTCAACAAATCGAGTAATTTAACGAAGATACCGAAAGTAAAGGAAACTGTTTTGCTTTAACATTGTAACCGAATTTGGGTGAATTACGTGAAGACCCAGAACAGTCGGTGATTGAGAATACTAGTAGCAGGAGAGCTCCTTCTGAAAGAGTTCATCCAGGGAAGGACTGCCATCTTACCGTGAGCATTACTGCATTCCAGTTTTGAAAGGTAAGGGTGCTGGTGAAATTACAAGCGCATGGGAGTTATCAACTTGTGTCTCAGGGTGACGGGCGCAGTGGCAGAGACCCTCAGATCTTTGCGGTTTAAAGCTCTGAGTGGCACCGCAATTGTTATGGACAGGCCTGTAGATTGCCATCAGGCGCACGACGTGTTCGTCCCGTCACTTACGTTAAGTTAATATAAACAACCAAAAAACATTTCATATTGTTTTAAATAAACATACCTGCACAAGTTTTACGACAACTAAACCCAAAAACACGTGTTTCAAAACATTGAAACGAATTTAATGCCAGTTACACAAATTCCTTATCTGTACGGACATAAACGAAACTTCAAAAGAAAGATTTGTTTTACATCCATGACTCGGAGCCGAAATAGCTTCAGCTGGCGCCAGGCACATGCCATAGGTTTTCCAAAATAGAAAATACGAGAAATAAGATTGTAAATTTTATTTTGAATTTGGAATTGAGTATTAGTAATTTTTTTTTACCTTTGGGACAGGCTGAGGCGTCTAATTAGCCATACTTCCAGATCTTAATTTTTTTAATGATTTAATTGTCTGCAAAAAATGGGGGGTATTTCTATTTCACTTTTAATTAACTTTTAGATTTTTAAAGTATTATTACGTTTTGAACTTCTTAATATTATTTGTGACCTGTTTAAGCTGATGGCTGAATACACAATGCTCAATGAATAAATAACAAATTTAATTTTCTAACATTACTCGCGAGAAAACAGTAATCGTTACGTCTTTACGGTGGGCATTTTGAAAAATATTTGCAATAGAATAAAATTATTTGTTTCACATTATCTATTATCTATTAAGTCACTAATATGTAATAATTAATATAAAATTAAATGTAATTAATTTACGTAATAAAGTATATTAACTAAAATGGATGTACATGTATACAGCCAAGGGTTAGAATATTATTTATTTTAAACAAAACTTTTCAAATTCCAAAATGTGCTGTAATTGAAAAAAAATACCACGCAAACGGCTCTACATCATATCAACTTAGAACGCGTGTAAAATGTGTAAAAAAGGGACTCAAGCGGAAAAAAAACACAAGATAATAAGCGAACAGTGAGAACGGTGACGTTTGTTTACCTACGTATGACGTCACGTGGTTTGTTAGGTGTCCTATCTGTTTTTAATAAACAAGCATTCTTTCTAACTGCATTTCGTACCCTTGTTATTATGATTTTTGTAGCAGTAGTGCAGAGAGAGCTCTTTGTGAAAGAATTCATCCAAGAAATATTTCTACCGCCAAGCAGTACTGTGAGCATTATTACCTTCCGGTTTAGAAGGATAAGGGTGTTGGTGAAATTACACCCACACGTGACTAGTAATTCATGTATCAGGGTGACAGGCGCGGCAGTGTCGTTCAGAATCTTTACGATTTAAAGCTCTGAGTAGCGCTACAACTGCTATGGACAGGCGTGTTGCCTACTACCAGGCGCACGAAGACGTGACTTCGCATCATAGTATCATAAAAAAACATGAACGAAAACATATCAGAAAAAACATGTAGTATTTTTTCATAACTTATTTTTTTCACCATAAAAAGTTACCATAAAAAGTTATATTCCAAGAAAATATAAATTTTAAGTGACGGGACCATTGACTTACAATTATATGGACGTCGAGTCCGCGCTAAAAAGTGTCCGCACTTGTAAGGCGCTAAAATCGTATACAGAGCGCGACACTCCGCTTTAGTCTTCATTTGTTCTACTGACAGCGCGATACTGCGATGACATTACAATTTAAATTTCGAATAGGTTGACTTGGGACATTTTTTTCGTGGTTTTTGTATTAGACCCGTCGTCCATTTATTTGTAAGTCAATGGACGGGACGGATAAGTCGTGCGTCTGGTGGTAAGAGACACGCCTACCCATAACAGTTGCAATAACACTCAGAGCTTAAAATCGGAGAGGTTAGGGGTTTGTTTGAGAAGTTATGTTACCCTGAGTCACAAAGTTGCCAAATTTCATGTACCTATAATTTTACCAGCACCTTTATTTATCCTTCAACAACGTAACTCAATAATGCTCATAATACTGCTAGGCGGTAGAAACATTTATGGTGCCAGAACGTACTTGGACGGACTGTTTCTCGGGAAGCTCTACTGCTAATAATACTGTCGTTGTTTTAAATTTTTTATTGAATGTATATTAATTTCTTTTCTGATATTACTCATTAGTTTGTTATAATTATTAATACAAAGATCGAATACAAAGGTCCAAGGTTCGATTCCCGGGCCGGGAGAAATATTTGTATGGCCTACATTTATTTCTCTCGCGAGTTTGGGTGTAATTTGTGGTTGTCTATGTGTGTGTCCATGGCACCCGCGACACAGGGTTTCCCTAGGTTTATTATTACTTAGAAAAAATTCCTTCAATCCGGCCAACTAAGTTGGCATAGCGTCTGCACGGTTTGTTAGAAGACGTCGGTTCGAATCCGACAAGATCGAAGGATTTTTTTCTAAGCGTACGATTTTTGTATTAATAATGAACACTATCGTTCTTTAGAATAGATAACACTTTAGAACCTGAGAACTCTTTGTGATCTGTAAACAAATTATTCGTTACAACTTAAATATAATAAAACATGTTGTTTTTATAATGCTGTCTAAAAGAATAATGCTTCAAGAGCTGGTCGTGT